TTTCAGCTTTTTATAGTTTTTGATTGCAAATGCATTCTAGTTGGGTTTATTTTTCCCCCTCAAAAAATACACAGACAAAATTTTGTCTGTTTACTGACTGCTTATCCAACAGAGTTCAAATTCACTTAACATGATAACAAGACTAAGTAATCTATCTCCTGTTTGCCTTTTCTTGCTAAACTTCCTCTTCCTCCCAGCACCTTAAGCTCCCAATTTCCAGAACAGGCCAACCTCTTTTCTATCATCTAGTATACAATTGATGACAGTGATTACATTTTGATCCTCTCAGTCTAAGCAGCTTTACAAAACTCCGCCCTGTCCCTGTCTCAAAAAAATTATCAGATTGGTGGTACATCTTCTATGAAGTCTGTCCTACTTACCCCACCAGATAGGATGGACTATACATAGCTCTCTCATAACATCCAAAATCCTACTGCATATGTTCAGATGTTTCAAAGACAGTGTCTCCTTCTCTTCCTACGATATAGTCACCAGGTTTGATCAATTCTACCACAAAAGTGTCTCAAGTTCATTCATTCCAAAGATATACCACTACCCGTCACAAAGCATCCAGACTATTTCAAGGGCTTTCTATAATTAGTTGTGCTACTTCCAGTTCTTCATTCATTCAACAAGTTAACTGCTGAGGGATGGTCTCTTTTTGCTGGGCCCTGGGATCACCAAAAAATAATAGGACATGGGCCATGCATTTAAATATACTGGAACAAGATGAGCACTGCAATGGTTCAGTAAAAAGAAGCTACAGAAGAAACACCTAACCTGGTCTTGGGGAGTTGGGGAACAGGTAATGAGAGAAGGCTACTGTAAGTGTATGTATAAATTATGCAGAATGTAGAAGAAAGTATTTTAGGCAAAGGAACACACAGGACATAACAAAGACCCAGAGTTAGGAAGCTAAGAAAGGGAACACAAAGCTGTCCAGTTTCTAAACTCTACAAGAAGCCCTGCTTTAATATTGCTATTAAAATTGACTATCTAAAAGTATATATGGACATCTAATACTTTGCCAGAAGATAAGGCTAGATTCTTCTTCAGCACAGTAGTCTGGGCTCTTCATAATCTGGCTCTAATCTACTTCTCATAACACTTCCCTTATTTTTTGAAAAAAAATTTTATTGTGTATATTTTAGGTTTACAGTATGTTGTAGGATACAAACAGATAATAAAATGGGTACTAGGCCAGGCACAGTGGCTCATACCTGTAATCCCAGAACTTTGGAAGGCTAAGGTGAGGTAATTGCCTGAGCCCAGGGGTAGGAGATCAGCCTGGGCAACTTGGTGCGACCTCGTCTCTACAATAAATTTAAAAATTAGCTGGGCGTGGTGGCGTGCACCTATAGTTCCAGCTTCTTGGAAGGCTGAAGCGAAAGGATCGCCTGAGCCCAGCAGGTCAGTCGAGGCTGTGGTGACCATGAGTGTGCCACTGCACTCCAGCCTGGGTGACAGAGTGAGACTCTGACTCAAAAATAAGTAAATAAAATGGGTACCATGGTAAAGCAGAGTAACATCTATCATATCACACAGCTGTTTTTTATGACAAGAGCAAGCTATTTAACAAAAATGTCCAATACAATACTATTTTATTCCCCTTAGTCCTCATATTGTATGTTAGATCTCTAAGCCTGTTCATCCTGCATATCAGCTATTGCATACCCTTTGACCTACACCTCCCCATTCCTTCCCCCGCCACTGCCCATGACAACCACCGTGTCATTTTCTATCTTGGTGTATTTCAGTATTTAAAAAAAATATACCACATGTAAGTGAGAACATGCAGTAATCCTTTTCTGTGTCTGGCTTATTCCACCTAGCATAATGTCTTTAAGTTCATCCATATTGCAGCAAATGATCTCCTTTTTAAGGCTAAATAATATTCCATTGTATACATACGCACCACATTTTCTTTATCCAATGACCCACTGATGGATGTTTAAGTTGTTTCCGTATCTTGGCTATTGTGAATAAAGTTGCAATGAACATGGGAGAGCAGGTACCTTTACGAGGTGATGAATTCATCTCCTTTGGGTATATGCTCACAAGAGGAATTGCTGGGTCATATGAATTCTGTTTTCAATTTCTTTAGGAACCTCCATAATAGTTGCACCAATGTACACTCCCACCAACAGTGTACTAGGGTTCCCTTTTTTCAACATCCTTGCCAACACATGGTATTTTTTTTAATAGATAGAGTTCTCCTACAGCCAACTGATCTTCAACAAAGCTGACAAAAAAGGGGAAAGAACACCTTTCAATACTATTCAATAATTGGTGTTGGGAAAACTGGCTAGCTATATGCAGAAGAATGAACTGGATCCCTAACTGTCACCATATTAAAAAATTAACTCAAGACCCAAGTGCAAAAACCCTAGAAGAAACATAGTAAACAATCTTCTGGATACTGGCCTAGGCAAATTTATGACAACCCCAAAAACAATTGCAACAAAATCAAAAACAGACAAATGGGACTTAATTAAACAAAAAAGTTTATGCTCAGCAAAAGAAATAATCAACAAAGTAAACAGAAAACCTATGGAATGGGAAAAAAAGTTTGCAAATTATGCCTCAGACAAAGGACTAATATCCAGAATCTACAAGAAACTCAAAGAACTCAACATGAAAAAAAAAAAAACGAACTCCATCAAAAAATGAGCAAAGGACATAAACAGACACAAAAGAAGACATACATGCAGCCAACAAACATAAGAAAATGCTTAACATCACTAATCAGAAAAATACAAATTAAAGCCACAATAACATATCACCTTATACCAGTTAGAAAGGTTGTTATTAAAAAGTCAAAGAACAACAGATGTTGGTGCACTTTCAGAGAAAAGGAACACTCGTCTACTGTTGGTGGGATTGTAAACTAGTTCAGCCTCTATGGAAAACAGCATGGAGATTTCTCAAAGAACTAAAAGTCGAAATACCATTCAACCAAGCAAACCCATTACTAGGGATCTACCCAAAGGAAAATAAATTATTTTATAAGAAAGATACCTATAGCCAGGTGAGGTGGCTCATGTCTGGAATCCCACTTTGGGAGGTGGAGGTTAGAGGATTGCCTGAGCTCAGAAGTTGGAGACCAGTCTGGGCAACTTGGTGAGACCTCATCTCTACAATAAATAAAAAAATTAGCGGGGCATGGTGGCACAGGGTTTTGGTTCCAGCTACTTGGAAGACTGAGGCAGAAGGATTGCCTGAGCCCAGCAGGTGGAGGCTGTGGTGACCATGAGCGTGCCACTACACTTCAGCCTAGGCAACAGAGTAAGATGCTAACTAAAAAAAAAAAAAAGACAAGATATCTCTATTCAACGCTATTTGCAATAACAAAATCATGGAACCAACTTAAGTGCCCAACAATGATTGCCTAGATCAAGAAAAGATGGTGTATATATATACCACGGAAGCCAAAGAATGAGATCATGTTCTTTGCAGCAACATGGGTGGAGCTGGAGAATATCATCATAAGTGAACTATCTTAGAAACAGAAAACTAAACAATGCATTTTCTCACATGTGGGAGCCAAATGGCTACAAAGATGAAAATAATGAACACTGTAGACACCAATAAAGGCTGAAGTGAGGAGGGGGGCTAAGGTTCAGAAATCACATTGGATACAATGTTCACTATCTGAGCAACAGGACACCTGAGACCCAGACCCCAGCACAACACGATATATGTCCATGTAGCAAACATGCAACTGTACCCCTGATTATAAAATTAAAAGAAAGTCTCACTATCTTACTCAAACTCTTGGGCTCAAGTGGTCTTTTTGCCTCAGCCTCCGGAGCAGCTGGGACTACCAGTATGTGCTACCACGTCTGGCTTGTCTTTCTCAACAGCCAATCCTGTAGGTGTTAGGTGATAATTCGGTGGTTTTATTTATTATTTTTTAAATTCAGTGGTTTTAATCTGCATTTTCCTAATGATAAATGATGTTGCACACATTTTCATAGACCTCTTGACTATTTCTATGTTTTCTTTGAAGAAATCTCTATACTATACAAGTCCTTTGCTTCCCACTTCCCTGCACTTTTTTCCCCCAGAGATAAGAGTCTCACTTTGTTGCCTAGGCTGGTATGGAATTCCTGACCTCAAGTGATCCTTCCACCTCGGCCTCCCTAAGTGCTGGGATTTCAGACATGAGCCACCATACCCAGCCATCTGCCCATTTTTAAATTGGGTTATTTGTTTTTCTGCTGTTGAGTTGTAAAACTTTGATATACATTTTGGATATTAACCCCTTATCATATATGTGGTTTGCATTTTTTTCCCAGTCTGTAGATTGCCTTTTACTTTTGTTGACTGTTCCCTTTGCTATATAGAAGCTTTCTAGTTTGATGTTGTCCCATTTATTTATATTAGCTTTCGTAGCCTAAGCTTTTGGTGTGATATCCAAAAAGTCACTGCCAAAGCTAACGTTGAGGAGCTTTTCCTCCTACCTTCTCTTCTAGATCATATATATATATATATATATATATATATATATATATATTTTTTTTTTTTTTTTTTCCTGAGTTGGAGTCTCACTCTGTCACCCAGACTGGAGTGCAATGGCCACTCCCAGCCGCCGCAGCCTCGACCTGCTGGGCTCTGGCGATCCTTCTGCCTCAGCCTTCCAAGTAGCTAGAACTATAGGCTGCGCTACCATGCCCGGCTAATTTTTTGATTTATTGTAGAGATGAGGTCTCACCAAATTGCCCAGGCGGGTCTCGAACCCACGGGCTCAGGCAATTCACTCACCTCATCCTCCCAAGGCGCGGGATTACAGGCTGAGCCACCAAGCCCGGCTTAGATCTTACATTAAGGTCTTAGGCATTTAGAGTTGATTTTTGTACAGGCATAAGGGTCCAGTCTCATTCTAATGCTCCCTTCTCACATAATACATGCTCCCTCTTTAGTATGCTTTGCATGGCCCCATTGAACTCTTGCTAAAATATCAACATGTAGCAACATGTTTGATACAAGAGAGTACTCACCTGTAAGATGGGCGGCGTGCTAGGATCCCGTGGGCTTTCTGTGAAGAGCCTATGCTGTCAGATGAATCCTGAGACTCTTCACTTTCTGATAAAGATGATACCTAAAAAACAGAATGGGTTTTAACATGATGAACAATGCAGGTGGGAAAAGGTCAAGGCTACAGTAGCCATGAGAGTACCACTGTACTCTAGCCTGGGTAAGAGTGAGACTCTAACTCAAAAAACAAAAAAACCCAGCTATTCAACTGCTGATACTGAGGAAACCACTAAATGTATATAAGCCTGCAGGTCAGGAAAGAGGCTATATACATTTGGGAGTCTAGCTCTTGAGGGACCTTAAAGCCATGAAACTGGATGAGCTCACTAAGAAGGTAAATCTAAAGAAGCAGACCAGGCTGGGTGTGAGGGCTCACGCCTGTAATCCCAGCACTTTGGGAGGCAGAGGGGAGAGGACTGCCTGAGCCCAGGAGTTCGAGACCAGCCTGGGCAACTTGGTGAGGCTTCATCTTTATAATAAATCAAAAAATTACCCGGGTATGGTGGCGCATGCCTGTAGTTCCAGCTACTTGGAAGGCTGAGGCGGAAGGATCACCTGAGCCCAGCAGGTCAAGGCTTGCTCAAAAAAAAAAAAAAAAAAAAGCAGCAGACCAGTGCTGAACACAGGAACACTAAGTAACTGGATAGAAGAGGAGGAACCATCAAATGATACTGAGGAGTCATCAGTGAGGAAGGCAAAGAACTGAAAGAGGCAGCGTAGCTAGCACAGGTTAGACACAAATAGATACATTTTCTGTAAGTATGATTTAGGAAGCATTCAGATTTATTTCTTTTGAGTTGGAGTCTCACTCTGTCATCCATGCTGGAGTGCGGTGGCAAGCTAATGGCCATCGAGTCGCAACCTGCGGGGCTCAGGTGATCCTTCTGCCTTAACCTTCCAAGTAGCTGGAACTACGGCATGTGCCACCATGCCCAGCTAATTTGCTGTTTTATTGTAGAGACAAGGTCTCACCAAGTTGCTCAAGCTTGTCTCGAACCTCTGGGCTCAGGTAATCCTCTCGCCTCCACCTCCCAAAGTGTTGGGATTATAGTGAGCCACAGTGCCCAGATAGACATTTTTAAAATTACATTTTACTACAGGCCAATCAAAAGAAGAATTTCATCAGATTTAAAAATAGGACAGCCTAGCCTTTCAGTTCATAATCACTAAAAATCCTTCAGGTTCCCTGTTGAAGGTAAAGGGCTCAACCCCACCCCTTAGCTGATCAAGACCATAGAAATAATCATAAGCCCATCCCTTCTCCCACCAGAGGAAGAGACAGCAGCTGTTACCAGTGCGCCACCCTTATTAGCATATCAGTACCTAGGTGGCTGCACCTAGCTTATAGTTGAGAGGAAAAACATGGTTTTTCTTTATGAGAAACTTGCTCATGGCTGGTCTTTCTGCTACGAATCTTCCTTTTCCCCTCTCTTCCTCTTGCTAATAAACTCTGTTTTAAAACTTTGCTGGCCACTCTAAAACTCATTTTAGGGATGAGCCAAAGAACCCACAAGTTTGTGCCGGACCCCACCTGGTACCACCGAATGTGTGAGCTGTCCTTGGAGAAGAAGTGAAGACAGGATAACAAGGAGAGAAGAATGGCCAATTACGTCAAACGCTGCCCACAGATGAAGTAAAACGGGCTGAGAACAGACCATCAGATTTAACAGAGTGGAGGTCACAGGCACTGGTAGGTATGAATATGGACTTTCAAAATCCAAGTAATCAGCTTATTCTCACTTCACAATTAAACAAGTTAATACATGTAAAGCACTTAGAGCACGTCACCTGGCATGTGCACAATAAATGTCAACTATCCTAAGTAATAAGCACTTTATTTTATTTTATTTTTGAGTTGGAGTCTCACTCTGTCGCCTGCTGGGCTCCGGCAATCCTTCCGGCTCAGCCTTCCGAGTAGGAGTAGCCGGAATTACAGGCATGCGCTGCCACACCCAGCTGATTTTTTGATTTATTGTAGAGATGAGGTCTCGCCAAGTTGCCCAGGCGGTCTCGAACCCGCAGGTTCAGGCAATTCACTCACCTCAGCCTCCCAAAGGCGCGGGATTACAGGCTGAGCCACCAAGCCCGGCAATAAGCACTTTATAAAACTACATTAATACAATATATAAGTTTTAAGTTACAGTAATATTTTACAACTGAGAAAAACAAGTTATTTCCAATTTCTAAAATGTATTACATTTTCCAACATTTGTCCAAAACTAAGATTATGATACCTGACATCATCTTCATTTTAAAAAACAAAATACTCTTAACAGGACTTTAGAAGGGACTTAAGAAATCAATTTTGTACATCAGTTATTATCTAAGAAAGCCCTCCCCTAAACTATTTAGACTCAGACATTATGTTTCCAGAGAAGCTTGCTTTACATTTGATCATTTCCTTCAAAAATGAGTTCTAGTGTACAATTACTCATCTTACATTAAATCTGTATCTTTTGATTGAAAACAAAAGACCTGGTCACAAATCTAATAATAATTAAATAATAACAGTAACAAATACTTTTAAAGTGTCACTTTTATTTTTCCTCAAGTATAATAGATATTCCATTTCTAATCTCTACCTTTAACTGTTTGTCCCTAAGCTTACTCCAAAGCCTCTCATTGAACTTAATAACTTGTAAAACTAAGGAATTACTTGTAACAAAGATTATACTAGCTGGGCTCGGTGGCTCAGCCTATAATCCCGTGCCTTTGGGAAGCTGAGGTGAGTGGATTGCCTGAGCCTGAGGGTTCGAGACCCGCCTGGGCAACTTGGCGAGACCTCATCTCTACAATAAATCAAAAACCAGCAGGGTGTGGTAGCGCGCGCCTGTAATTCTGGCTACTCGGAAGGCTGAGGTGGAAGGATCGCCAGAGCCCAGTGGATCGAGGCTGCGGTGACCGGGAGTGGCCACTGCACTCCAGTCTGGGCGACGGAGTGAAACTCCAACTCAAAAAAAAAATTCCCAGCACTTTGGGAGGCTGAGGTGAGTGGATTGCCTGAGCCCGTGGGCTCGAGACCCGCCTGGGCAGCGAGACCTCATCTCTACAATAAATAAAAAAATCAGCCAGGTGTGGTAGCGCATGCCTGTAATTCCGGCTACTTGGAAGGCTGAGGCTGAAGGATCGCCAGAGCCCAGCAGGTCGAGGCTGCGGTGGCCAGCAGCGGCCACTGCACTCCAGTCTGGGCGACAGAGTGAGACTCCAACTCAAAAAAAAAAAAAACAATTTTAGCTGGGTTTGGTAGCGCATGCCTGTAGTTCCAGCTACTTGGAAGGCTGAGGCAGAAAGGATGGCCGGAGCCCAGCAGGTCAAGGCTGCAGTGGCCAGGAGCGGCCACTGCACTCCAGTCTGGGTGACAGAGTGAGACTCTAACTCAAAAAAAAAAAAAAAAAAGATCAAATATTTATCTTTAATGATAGTGCCAGCAATAAGAGTAAAATCTTCATTTAGAAACTCAAAGTTCATGCAGCCACCTCCTTTCATACAGGCATATTACACTCACAGCTCTAGAATTGACAACACTGACATATTCAGGAGGAAAAATAAGGTATGTGGAAAGCTGCTTATAAAAATGAGAGATGACCAAGGGTATTCTGGGACTCACAGGAACCAGAGGATAAAATGGAGAGAAAGCTAAAATAATAGGAACCCAGGATGACTTTTTCTTTCCTACTGTTGTTAGGTGTTAGTATAAAGGTAGATAATTGCAAATAAGAACTTTCCTCTGCTACAAGAGAACTCTCTTTTATTTTATTGCCATAAATCATAAGGGAGGTTCTTTCTTACTTTGCTAAGACTCTCGGAACACCTTTCCTTTGAAATTCTCCTTTTCATGAAAGATATTGCTGGAATAAAACTGTTCGTTCCCTTTAAAAAGGTCTTGATTTCCTTAAATCATAAGCAATTATATAACTTGTTTTCTCTAGGTATTACATACATGAAACTGAACTTCTTTTTTGTTTGTTTGTTTGAGTAGGAGTCTCACTCTGTTGCCCAGGCTTGAGTGCAGTGGTATGTTCATGGCCAACACAGCCTTGACCTGCTGGGCTCAGGTGTTCCTTCCACCTCAGCCTTCCAAGTAGCTGGAACCACAGGTGTGTGCCACCATACCTGGCTAATGTTTTGGTTTACTGTAGAGATGAGGTTTCACCAAGTTGCCCAGGCTGATCTTGAATCTGTGGGTGCAGGCAATCCTCTTGCCTCCACCTCCCAAAGTGCTGGAATTATAGGCATAAGCCACTGTGCCTGGTTAAAGTAGAACTTCTAAAACTCTCCTATTTGTCTGACTTGGTTTGCAGGCTAACTTCAAAGACAACTTTGCTATGCTAATTTATAACAACTGTTTACAAGTAACTGCAATGCATCTGAAGACGCAGGGTATAAAAGTCCCAACTCTCAACTACTAAGTCTTCACGTTTTTTGTACCGTCTGTATGTGTGGTGGGTGAATTACAGATGACAGAGCTGTCTGGATGACCCCCTGAACGTGTCCTTGCTCTCCAGGAAAAGTATAATATTCACTGATGCAGATTCTCTTAATGACATCTAAGAACAAATAAAAATTCCATTAACAAAATATATACAGTCCCTATGCATGTAAGATATCTGAGTTCTTAACACTGGAAAACACATTTCAGAGCTGATTATATTTAATCACATCTATTAACCAAACAGTAGGTACTCCTATAGACCAGAGACTAAACTAGGTTTTCAGAGTACAAACTAATTTTAACAAACAGAGTAAGAGCTATAATAGAGGAAAATTAGAATGTACCATACCGTGGGAGAAAAGAAAGGGTGTTACACTTTACCTGGGTCTTAAACGAGGAACAACTCTTCAAGGATCTGTATAGGTGTGTTCAGGAGACCAGAAGGTATTTTAGGCAGAAGAATTAATTGTATAAAAACGTGGAGGTTCTCTGGAACATGTTATTCTGAAGAGATTTGATTGAAAACTGAGCAAGAAATCAAGAGTCAAAAAGTGAGAAAAACCGGGTGCCCTGGCTCACGCCTGTAATCCCAGTACTTTGGGAGGCTAAGAAAAGAAGCCTGAGCCCAAGAG